ACGATAAAAGCACTTGGCGAATCGTTGCCCTGTGATTTTCTTTGGTGGAAAAATGGCCACGATCGTTGAATCCCACGATTGGAAAAAAAGGCTATGTAACGTTTTTATATATATATATATATATATTAAGTAAGTTAACTGGGCCATTGGTTTCACTGTGAAACCGCCATATTATTTTTCCTCTTTTCGTGGTAGCTTGGATTTGAAACGAAATTACTTCCGATTCTTTATTCTTTATTAGTTTTTTTCTTTTTTTTTTTTACTGAAACTGTTTTAATCCAATGTAATAGTCAATGGTCAATTCTTATTTTTCACGTTTATTTATCTGCGATATGTTTCGTGTTCTTTTTTTTACTTCAATTTTATGGATGAAGAAGGAAATTCTTATTTGTAATTGATTCATTGACAAACTTTTTCAAGTATTCTTCAAGTATTCATAGTATTCTTGATAATAATATATAATATTAATTAAATTACATATGATAGTATTAAAAAAAATAAAGTACTATGTACGTTTATCAGAGTATATTGTCTTATTATTAATTTCTGAATATGTTTAAACATTTTTTAACAATATAATGTGATTCACGAGATGAAATAATTTAATATATATAACGTGTAATATGCTTCATTAACATTTTATTAATTCATATTATTAATCATTATATCATAATTTTATTCAAATGTAATCTTAAATTATCTTTCTATTATAATTATTCTTACAAGTCCATTCTTATCTATTTCTTTAAAGTACATGATTATGTAAGATCTTAGTCAGAGATTTACCATCTACGAACTCTTATTATTACTTAGCTTACATGTTTCATGTTCTTTCATATATTTCTTCTTTATCTCCTGTATAACCATGGTAAATCAATTTCAAAACATTGTTGCATTATCTGATGTTACATTTTCATTTCGAACTGCACAAAAAAAAAACGACATATTTGTTTCTATCATAATGTTTCTTATATTTTACATATAGAAGATATAGCAAAATTAAAATGTTAGAAATATTAAATCGATATTAATTAACTCATTAACAATTTACAATCATATTATGTGTATTTCGTATAAAATTTTTAAAGTTATTTATTTCTGAAGCATTTTGCAATATCAAATTTTTTTATTATGGAATTATTCTTTTTATATCAATTATCAATTTTCATTCATATCTCATCTTCAATCAATTTATTCTTTGTTATTAGACTGACAAGGATAAAAAGTTACATTTGATTTTCATGCAAATATTTTTCACATTAGTGTTTTGTATATTTTATATACAATGACATAAATAAATATGTTAAATATTTTTCTTTTCGTATTCAGTTTTGAACCTGAACATATATAATTTCGTTTATAAAATATCGATTTATCAGAAAACTTTAAAAAAATGTTTAAGAAATTATTGTTAAATATTTTAACATAAATTATGATGAGTAAATATTTAATTCCAATGTATAAAAATCGTATATCATATTATATTAATTAGAACGTATGAATATTTTAAAGAAAAATAATAATTAAATTTAAATAACGTAGTATTATTTGATCCACCGAACTTAATACCTGGAAACACCGCTAGAATGCGTGGAACAATCGATTCTCGCTCGCGGTAATAGATGCTTGCCGAATATTAATATAGCCTAGTAAGCAATACGTGGACAAGCAATTTCATCGATCGAACGATCTCCTTCGTTCAGCTTCTAATTAAATGATAATGTCGATATTTGCGATCTTTGCATCGTTAATCATGAAATATTCAAGTATCCATATAAGACTTCAATTTATAGATATTTGTATTTGAAATTATTTGTGTGATTATATTCAATTATTTATTATATGATAATTGTGAATATCACAATAATAATAATTGTGAATTGTGATAAAGAGAAAAGTTGAGAATAAGACAAAACATTGGTAAACGTAATATAACAAATACCCATTTTAAATTTACTTAGATATTACTTGGAAATTGTGTATTATCTACATCATTCGTGAAGGGAAGAAAAAGGAATGTCGAATCTGATAAGAATCGAGAAAGGGCGTGCAATCGTAAGTTTGAATCTCGTTGGGTGGAGGACAATCGGGAAAGAGGATCGTTTAATGTTCCTGTAAAGAAACGGGGGGAGAACTCACCTCTGCACTTTAGACCAACTTCTCGAGACGTTGGATTATAGTATAGCCCGATTCACTCTCTCTTTTCCTTTACCCACCTCCGGAAGTGGAAAAAGTTCTTTTCTTGACTCGTATAACGTGGGTGGGTGGCTACGTTCTCCTACCTGTGTTTCTTTTGCGTTAGAGCCCTTCTGGCTAAACTTCTGGCCCATTAATTTACATTAGGACATTTTTCAAGAGCTCCCAACGCCCGTGTACCTTAAAATTGGCGAAGTCTTCTTTTTCACGCCACTCTCTCCCCGGGAAAGGAACGCCCCCGAGTTCGTGTTTCCCTTGTCGACGTTGCGCTTGAATTCTTTACCATTAAACACCGAAAGAAGTGTCGTGTGTTTCGCTCGGATAATTTTGTCAGTCCTTTATTTCCTGTTCTTTTATTGTTCGAGAAACGTCAATGGAAGATTTTTCATCTGATTTTTCCATTTTGATGTTTTTATGCGCAAGATTTTCTGTATTGTAATTCATATTGGGTAACTGGAAGAGGGTTTTATATTAAATGAAGTATTTTAATTAATTATACATCTTTTAGAAGAAGAATATCGAAAACAATATTCTTAAAATTTGTATTAAATTTTATTTTTTAATATTTGAGTCAGTTCTATTAAATAATTTTATTAAGTAATTGATAATATTAAACTTAAGTGAAGTTTATTATTAGAATTACTATTATTAAAAGTCATATCATTTAAATAAAAATAATTAATGGAGATTGTATATTAGAATACAAGCATACATCTTTGAGAGTATCAACCATGACTAATAATCATTTACATAATCGAAATTGATACAATTATTATTAATTAAAATATTCTATTAATATTCTCAATAATTTTCTATGTATTCATATATTTTTTAATTGTACATGTATATTTTATTTGAAATATCAATTTTGTGAAAACTATCTTTTCCTATATATAGCTTGTTTAATAAGTTTAAACTGAAATAGCTTGAATTATATATTATAATTATATCAAAAACTAATATGTGTACATATTATTATTTTCATAATCTTTATTCGCCAGGGATAAAATTTTATTCTATTCGAATAAAATCCTGGCCATCATTGCAACCATTGTGATAATATGTGTGTATCGAGTGGAATCCAAGTACCAATTGTACAATCTTCTTTAATACGTCACGTACAATACAAATGATCCTATTATCACACAGAACGTGTTGGTAAATGTTCCAAAACGACATTTCCATTTCTGTTTCAGCACACTCTAACGGGCCACTGCGGGAAGGTGATGGCTGCGAAGTTTCTTGGCGAGCCTTCAAAAGTAGTTACTGGCAGTTACGATCGTACCCTAAAAATTTGGGACCTGCGTAGCAAAGCGTGTAAGTAACTGGTGCCAAATAAATAGGAAACGTTTAGTATATAACCAGTATATACTGTGATATTTTATTCGTGATCAGAACATTGTTGCACTATATATATATATGTGTGTGTAGACAGAAAATAATGCACAGTATTACTGGTAATCACGTTCCTCATTATTTCCATTAATCATGAATAATGCTAATATATTTACTGGAATTTAAAAGGAATCTGAATATTCGTACGTGTATACGGAATGTTTTTATGCATATAAAGTACTTTTGAATAATCAACAAGTGCTTTGCACAAGTGAAAATAAGAGGAAAAATTATGTGAAATCTTGCTGTTACGATTTGTCGTAAAGTTATTAGCAGATTATAAAAAAGGATTTTGTTAAATTTTATATTTTTGCAAAGGAACAAGAAAAAATATAACATCTTTAAATCTTTAAATTTTGGATTTAGATTTACAACTTTTTTTATCCAAATATTACACAAATGTTGTAAAAATATTATTAAGAATATTGAAGAGAAATTTTTATAAGCTTTATTAAAAAGACTATTAAAATAAAAAAGAAGTAAAAGAAATATTGATAGAAATATATATAGATAGCCTTTTTTTTTTTGTAATTAGATACTGTATTTTTTACACAGTTTTTTAAGCGATTAAAATATTGTATCATTACCTGGTAATTCGATTTTCAATAAAATAAATAGTTCAAGGAATTAACATTACAGGCGTTTTCTAAGCGTTAAAGCGTGAAATTAATACATGTGAATGTATAACTTATTATCTAGTCATTTTCGTTTTAAATTCTTTTACGGTCTAATATTTTAATTATACGCGTTTTAAAGTGTTAAAGATACTTTCTAGTTTTTCTACATCCAATCTTAGATTCATTATATTTTTGGGCACATAAGATATAATTTATTTTAAAAATAAAATCTTTCCTCGTACATGAAATTGTAAATAAATTATTCGTCTATAGTTGTTAATTTGAATTTGGATTAAAAAAATATATATATATATATATATAAAACATTTGAAATTAATAGTACCATGACGAGGATATTTTGAGATTAACATATTTTGATAGCTATCTTTCCCTATTTATTAATGTTATAAATTACAAAGCCGCCTCATATTGACGTAATAGCCTATTAACGTAAAAAATTCTTTGCAACTAGATAGTTCAATTTCCTCGCACCTTTATACTCGATTCTCAGCATCGTCTCGTTGCTTTCCCTTATTTACGAGCGCTCGTAAAACCATTACACGCCTAATTCGAGTCATCAGGAGGCATAACGTTGCCATAACAGAGGAATCTAAAATAGCGTCGACGGAGTTGTAAGATAAGTTTGCAAGATATGGTACATAAAAGAGGTATTACTCCATCCAAAGATGCCCAGTATCTTTAAAAAAAAAAAATCAAAAATAACAATTCTAAATGACCACTTGTTTTTTTCTTACTCACTATTTCATTTAATAACGAATAAACATCGAATCATTTTTTTTTCCTCCCCCTTTTTTTCATAGATTATCACGATCGACTCAAAATATTCCTCCTTCTTGTAATATCCCCGTTGATAGGATATTAATATATTTGTGGAATCATATTTCTTCGGAAGCTTTCTACGGACAAATATAAAAGTTGTAACGTACAAAAGAATGCGCAATCAAGTTTTATCATTTTTATTGGGTAATTAAAATTAATAATGCGAGATGTAGCGTGTGTGATAAGATGAGTTTATAAAGATCACTTACGCTATATTTATAACGCATATATTTTAAAATTCATTGGTTGAATTATCTAGAGAATCGATATGAAACTTTGCCTTTGACGATCCTCGATAATAAAGTTTCAAATCGATGAGCTTCGTGCCAAGGTAAAAGGGATCGAATAAAAGTTCGATTTTTCGTCCCGTCGTCACTTCGTGAGATTAATTAACACGATAACGCTCTTATCGGTAGTTAACGAAATCTTTTCTAACTCTGCTCCAACAGTGCAGTTTTCTTGTCACGGGTCGGCCCTCTTTGTTCCTGATCGTTGACGGCCCTAACGGATGATGTTTGCCGGTGAGAAGGGGCCGATAAGAAATTGGTAAATTCATGCGGGATGAATGCCCCTCTCCCCTCCCCCCCTCCTTCCCTCTTTCCTTCACCCCCATTCTGATGGTGGATGGCATCGGTGATTAAACGGAAGTTGCGAACAGAAGAAATTTAATTTAGATCCGGTTGTTGTAACGAGACAGCCGTTAATTCTTCAATGCAAAAGTTGGCGAAGTTTCTCTCTCTCTCTCTCTCTCTCTCTCTCTTTCTTTTTTTTCTTTTTTGAAATTCCGAAAAATTCCGAATCGTCCGTTCACTGCTTTAAACTGTGTAATTTCGCGAGGAGAAAATTTTAATGAAATGCAAATTGCTTGTACACAGACCGTTAACGAAGATGTATAATAACGTGTTGTTGTCGTTGGGAAGAAAATTTGATTTTTTTTTCCTCCTCTTCCTCTTTTTTCCTCCCTTTCTTTTCTTTTTCTTTTCTTTCAAACTGTACAACTTAAAAAAGAAGCGCGACGCGATATTTTTAATATTCATTGTTTTTAATTTTTTACCGGAGGCAACAAAGAACTTTTGAAATTTCTCGTAATATCTTTTTTTTTCTTTTAAAAAAAGCGGTATAAATATATTCTTTTCACACGAATTGAATGTTTATGATTCTTCGTATAATAATATGAATATCATTAATTGCATTGAATTCTATTCATTCTAATATATTTTAATTATATTGTATCTATATTATTTTATATTCTTCTGCTATTAAATATATATAAATATATAAATTATATACGAATGAATGTATAAGAATGCTAATTTTCTTTCAAACATATTTTTTTTCAAGAAACACGTTTAACATTTCGTTAAATATTCTTTAAAAATAATATGTTATTTATTAACATCTTATATGTGACTAACATTATTGATACTTAATATAATAATCAATATCAATTATTTTTATTTTTTTTAAATAAATAATAATTGGATTTATTAATAGTTCCATAACGGAGAAAAAAATATATATATAAACAAATTGAAAATTTGAAAATAACGAAAAATTGAAAACGTATAATCGTATTACTCCAAATGTCGCCTTTTGTATAGTATATTTCAATTTGTATCAATTTTTGTAAAACCAATATTTACAAAGTTATCAAAACGGACCTAGTTACGTGAATATTTTTATGTAATTCGTTTATAAAAATAGAGATTTACTTTGGATTATACACGAGTTGAGTTATTTATTTATTTATTTTTTTTTTTTCGATAATGCGTATCGAGGAAAAGCATACATGGAGAAAAAGTAATAATACGAGCGTATATCGATGTTAAATAATAATAATGATAATAAGAATAGTGAAAAACTCGTATCACTTCCATTGAATTGATCACGATTATATGTGTATATTCGTGGACGAAAATAATTCATCCGTGGTATATTTACTATTCAAACATTTACATGAACGGTGAACAAATATTGGGAATTATTTTGGGAACGTACACCGCATAGAAATAAAACCATGCGCAATATCAATTTGTATGGATGCGGAAATTGTCAGCCGTTTACGCGAGAAATATTCAGCTCGATAATGCTTTCAATACACGATTTCTTTTATTAGATGTCATCCCTTATCTTTCGATTTGATATATGTTCCGTTGCAGAGTTTGAAAAGAACTATTCCACTATTCGTATTCCGGTCGAGATTCAATTGCCCGTCACTTTTTGTAATATCAAATTAAACTCTCAACTTTTATGGATATAAAAATGAAGAAGAGGCGAGGCATTAATGATGATTCGTGACAAGATTCATATTCAATTACGGATTTTGTATATTTTTTTTTTTTTTTTATAATAGTTAAAAGATCTCGCGAGATTTTATTATAAAGATTTGCAAATACTTGTTCTGGAAGCTGGAAGATGGAATTATAGAAAGAAACGAAGGAGAATTTTGTAAAATTTTTACGCGAAAAGTCATGGTTGTCATAGAAGAAAGAGTCTTTTGGAAAAAAATATCTTTTTTACTGCAGTAATTTTAAAACTTTTTAGAAAAGGTTATTTGAGAAAACAAGGAATTCTTGTGATTTTTCCTTCTGATTTTCAAGATTTGACAATCTGACATTTTTTTTTTTTTTGGACTCAGTAATTTTAAATATTTCAATTTTTGATATAAAATTTCTATCATTTTGATTAATCTTATTATATATATATAGAATTAACGAAATAATACTTTTACAAAGTTTAAAAAAAATTATACAATTTTAATAGGATTTCATTAATAAAATTGTGCAAAAATGATGCTTGTGACATAGAAAACTTTTTAACTGTAATAAATCCAATTTTTTAATTCACCATTTTATACCTCTCATATAAAATGACAATTCATGTCTATATAAAAGATAAAATAATAAAAATTTTTATATTTTGACCATTTTAAAATTCCACGGTGCACAAAGATATTAAATTTTCATATTAATTACTTAATTAATATATACATGAACCATAAGATAATTAAATAATAATTCAAGCAAATCATTTTTTTTCCCCATACTTTTCTAAATAATTTTCGTAAAAAAACGCTTCGAGAATATATTTCATTTTTTACGTTTCAGTACTTGGATCCGTCAAAATGTACGATACACGACAATAAATTATATTTTCCATGCTGAATACATATAAAATAAAAAAAAAAAATAAATAAAACAAAATAAAATAAAATAAAATAAATAAAAAATATTTAAATCAATGTATCTGAAATCAAATTTCAAATCGAATTTCGATCGATGAAATTGACGTTCCGCAAACCACCCAATTTTTATCCCCTACCTTTTATCGTAAAAAATGATTTTGCTTTCGCAGAATCTCTTTGAAAACACTTTATATATATATATATATATATATATATATATAT